TCTCATCTGTAAAATGGTATCGTGGACTCCTTTAGGAGAGTGGAAAGGGTTTGAGATCCTCTGTAAATCACCTGGCACATTGTAGGCACCCCCAAATCTAGGGGTTCTTTCAAGGTGTGTGGCCTTGGCGACCCAATTCCCTTTGCTGAGCCTCAGTCTCCCCACACGTAGATGTGGATGATTGTACCAAACCTTGCGGGATGTCACGAGGGTACAGTGAGCCTGGGGAGAGAAGAGACCTCGGTGACAGTGGGGGCATCTTCCCGAGGTTGCGTGGTCTTGGGCAGGTCTTGGCGTCCCTCGAGTCCTCAGTCTCCCCATCTGTGAGATGGCCATGGTCATGGCACCCTGGGGGGTTCTGTGAGGACTGGAGGGGACGTGCACAGAGCCCGGGTGGTGGCGTCGGGGTTATCATGAGCATCAGTGGCGCCGTGGCTAGGAGGACAGGGGCTGGAGCCCAAAGCCTGGGCCACACCCCAGCTCTGCCACCTCCCGGCCTGTGGCCTCAGACGAGGCCCTGCACCACGGTGGGCCTCGTGTCCTCACCTGTGGATGACAACAGCGACCCCACGGAGCAGGGGCAGGGACCGGACGAGTCAAATCCACAAAGTGCTTAGGGCAGCGCCCGGCGAGCAGTGAACGTTCAGTGATGGCGCCGCGTTACGCCGGAGCCGCGAGACCCGGGACGGGTCCCCTTCCGCCCCAGGCCTCAAGTGTAAACGGGACTGGGCTGTGGTCGGGTGGCTGTCACCCTTGGCTGCTCTTTAGAATCACCTGGGAAACTTTGAAGGAAAAACCCCCAGACCCAGGCTCTACCCTAGAAATGCCAATTTAATTGGTCTGGCAGGGGCCTGGGCATCTGACATTTTTAGTGACTGCAAAGATTCTAACACACAGCCAGGGCCGAGGACCCCTGAGAGAGGCCCTGAGGTCACAGGGGACAAGCTGGGTCCCCCCTCCCAGAAAACATGGTCCTCTGTGGTGCCAGGTGGGAGAACAGCTCTTCCAGGTGTGGGGGCTTCAGCACGTGCTGGGGACAGCTCTTTGGAGGCCACAGTGGCCTGACCAGGACCTCCCCCGCCCATGGAGCAGGCCTCAGGGCCCAGGGAGGGAGGCCTAGACAAAAGTCCTGCTCAGATCCAGCCTCGGTATCGGTGCTGGGGAACCCGCCATCTTGGAAATGCCCGTGTCTACACAGGCGCCGGAATCCCGGTACATGCTCCCGGTTCAGCCCCAGAACCCTCCCTGCCGCGACACAGCAGGATGTCACTGAGGACTCTGTTCCCTCCTCCCTCCAAAGTGCATCCAGCTCATGTCAGTGGCTCCTCTGGAGGGAGACGCCTGGGATCTTGTCTGTGTTCTGAGAGCCAATTCGCCAACCTCGTTTCCTGAGGGGATTGTTCAGGAAAGGGGGGGAGACTCGTCATTCGCTGGTTTCTGTCCTGCCATCGCTTGGGTTTTCATGGCAGCTGCAGGGAGCAGGACTTGGGACTTTTCTTGGAGTTTCCGCTCTGCTTTGTTCTGCTGCCTAAAGAATAAATGTGTAGTTTCAGAACCAGTGGTGACCGGATCTCATGACAACAGTCATAGGTGTTCTTTATTAAGCACCTACTATATACCAGGCTCTGTGTTTGCATTTTTCCTCACTCATCTTACCAGGTGGGGTCTTTATCCACTTTTGGCTGTTGGACAGCCGGGCTCCTCTCTGAGTGTCACCCTAAAGGGGCTCAGACGAGGACCCCTCACCGGGATGGGGGAGGATCACAGAGCTGGGGGCACAGAAGGGGCAGCCGGTGTCAGGCTCCGGAGGAGAACTGATTACAGCCTCCCATCCCTTTAGGGAAATCCAGGCTGCTGTGTCCTGATGATGTGACTTCCTCAAGTGACACCTCCTTACTGTGCCCTCAAAATGTTTGACGGGTGTTAGGGAGCAAGTTAATGTTTACAAATGCTAATATTTGTGATATTTACTACAGAAGGTACACGATAAAAATTAGCAATTGGGAGATAACCTTTAGGACCCATCTACAGGAAGAAAGTGCACTGATTTTTCTGATGCTACAATTTATGTGCTTTCAGGGCCCAGGAAGAGCTTCTGCCTGCTTAGTGAGCCTGTGTCTGTGTCTCTTGTAATTAATTAATGCTTAAGAAATTAACCACCTTTAGCTTTTTCAGTACTCGGTGATCCGGGTTTTCAATCCAAACCTGACCGAAAAGAAGACCCATATTCCAGAAAATGCTTTTCCCTTTCAATTCAGGTCTTGGCACGGATTAGACCTGAAAGGAAGGAAGGAAGGAAGGAAGGAAGGAAGGGAGGGAAAGAGAGAGAGAGAAAGAAAGAAAAGAAAAGGAAGGTAGGAAGGAAGGGGCAAGGAAGGTAGGAAGGAAGGGGAAGGAAGGAAGGAAGGAGGAAGGAAGGAAGGTAGGGGGAAGGAAGGAAGGATAGGGAGGTCAAAGGGAATGACACTTATTTGGGAAACAAAGAATTGCAATTCAGGTACACTGAGTCAGGGCAGCCCTGAATAGTGTCCCATAAGGTGAGTGTAGAAGTTTTGCACGGGGGATTTCCGCAGAAGGTTTTTGGAGGCAGTTCATTGGCTGGGCAGAAATCCTAAACTGCAAAGCTGTTCTGAATGGTTACTTAGTTAGAGTCCTCCCAGCTGAGAGGTGTTGAAATCCCCAGACTTTGACTTCAGTCGTATCCAGTCTATGGGAACATTCTGTGGTTTGACCTTCAGCAGGTGCGAGTACAACCTTCCCAAACCTGCTGACGCCACTGCCAAGCCTTGGCCTTAATTACTTCATTTCCTTTCACACACGTTACAGGAATGTTTGTGGAAAGAATGAAAAATACAGAATAAATTCATAAATACCCAAAAGAAAAGCCCTGGATATATGTAAAGTCTAGGTGAAAGATAGCTTGTGCTTGTTTATTTTTGTGAAGCACCTTTTGTGATTTATCCAAAGCAAAACTGCTTCCATTGCCTTGCTGCACCCGGGGAGGGAGAAACGCTGCTGTCCCATTTCACAGATGAGGAGCTGGATGTGCCAGGCCACCCCTCTCATGGGCTGGCCAGCCCGGTGCCAGCTCTCACGGCAGTGCCACTTTCCCGCTTGTTCCTGCACTGACTTCTATAGTCACCCTCTCTGGGGTTGGGAGGTGTCCCGGGGAGGCCAGCTAGGAACAGTTAATACCAAGGGTGAGACCAATCAATAATCCTGTTCCTGTGCCGAGAGGGGTGGAAATCCCCTGTGCAGACAGAAGGGCTTGGAACTCAGGCCTGGAATCCCTCTGGGCCCTGCCCCCACTCACTGTCTGGCCTCGGCTGGTCTGTCCCCTCTGGGAGCCTTTGCGTCCTGCTCTGTAAAATGAGGATAAGGACACCACCTCCCCAGTGTTATCGGAAGGACTAAAAAATACTGTCTTGTGACGATCCGTGACAGTGTCACATACTTATCATTCCTGATGGTCGTTGCAATCACGTCTCCTGTTTATAAATGCTCCTTTGTAGCCAAACCCTCTCTCCCTGTGGTAACGGGCCCCGCGGCAAGGGTCACAGCTAACCAGACGGTGAACTTCACCTGTGAGTCCCATGGCTTCTCCCCACGAGACATCACCCTGAAGTGGTTCAAAAATGGCAATGAGCTCTCAGACTTCCAGACCAGCGTGGACCCTGCAGGCAAAAGCGTCTCCTACAGCCTGCGCAGCACAGCCAAGGTGGCGCTGAACCCTGGAGACGTCCACTCTCAGGTCATCTGCGAGGTGGCCCACGACACCTTGCAGGGGGCCCCTCTCCGTGGGACTGCCAGCTTGTCTGAGACCATCCGAGGTAGAGGACCCCACGCCCAGCCCCAGCCCACACCTGCCCACCAGGCCCGCTCCTCCCCCAGCTTTTGCTCCAGGGCTTAAACTGCCTGGAATCTGATTCCTAACTGTCCTGCCCACCTACCATGTGCCTCGATGTGCCGCTGTCACTCTCATTCTAAGGGCACCAGGTGAACACCCACCATGCGCCAAGCACTGTGCCTGGCAGGTTCGTTTATTTCACCAACAGCAGCTGCAGTTGCTGAGCACCCACTGTGAGCCAGGCCCCGTGTGCTTGGCAATTTCACGTTTTGCTGCAGTTATGACATTCTGACTGCATGCCAGGGTTGTGCCTGTTGATTTCGCTCGTTATTACCCTAATAGGTGCTACCAGTCCTTGACCACCTGCTGTGTGCCAGCATTGAACTTAGTACTTTCACTCTTATGCAAAGAGTACCTTCAATGTTTGAGCACCTACTGCATGCCTAGCACTGTCCTGGGTGATGCCCTTGCCCTGGTGGTGGGAGCTAAGTTATCCAGCCCGTCCTCTGTGTTCTGCCTGTGCCATAAGGTCAGAGCTTCTGCCCTGTGCTGTTTCAGTTCCGCCCACCTTGGAGGTTACTCAACAGCCCACGATGGCAGGGAGCCTGGTGAACGTCACCTGCCGGGTGACAAGGTTCTACCCCCGGAGCCTACAGCTGGCCTGGTTGGAGAACGGAGATGTGTCCCGAATAGAAATGGCCTCGATCCCCATAGAGAGCAAGGATGGGACCTACAGCTGGACCAGCTGGCTCCTGGTGAACTCATCTGCCCACAGGGAGGACGTGAAGCTCACCTGCCAGGTGGAGCATGACGGGCAGCCGCCGGTCAGCAGAAGCCACGTCCTGGTGGTCTCCACCCACCAGAAGGAGCAGGGCGCAGGTGCCACCCCTGGTGAGGTTACAAATTTCTAAATTTTATCTTCTTTTAATGTTAAAAGTAGTGTTTATGCTTGTTATAAAATAATCTAGACGTCTATAAATATAAAGCAGAATTTTAAAGTCAGTTCATCTCTCCAAATCCCACATGCCAAGAGTCACCACTGCTAAGAGGCTGGTGCACACTTTGGTAGATCTCTTGGCTTAAGTATATATTACAAGAGGAAAGAAGGGAGGGAGGGAGATCACCCGTTCACGGCGTCCTGCCTCCTGCCTTCTTCACCTGACAGTTGTTATGTCCCCATTGTTCCTTCTCAGCCCACACTCTCCTCCCCGCTCTGACTCAGCCTGGTCTCTGATCCATCCTTAACTTTCCCATCCATATCTGCAACCTCGCGCCAGCAGACTCTGGCATCTACGGTATGAAATGCAAGAAGGGAAGTGGAGTTTAAGACGGTTCAGTTAAGATGATCAAGACCGCTCATGGCACGGGCCTCCTCTGTGTCCTGATGTGTGATAACGGACCAGCAGTGGTCACAATCGCTTCCTGTACACTTACTCCATGCAAATGTCTGTTCATCTGTGATTTCCTCTCCTGCTTCAGCCACCTAATGAGTTGGGAGTTTTGCAGGAAAAACCAGGACTTGGCGAGCAATGGGGGGTGTTGTTAAGACCTGCCATTAGACCAGGCGATTGGTCTAAACTAATCAAGGTAAATCTGAGTCTGTAAGGACAGGGCCACCACGTGCCTAAAAGGCAAATTTGTGCTAATGAGACGAATGTTCCCCTTCAGCCAGGCATTGTTCCAAGGTCCCAAAGTTGGCTGGAGACCTCCCTTCTATGACAAAAATATGTCTTATTTCCTCCTCAAGTAACACTTGGAAGGGACTCGACTCCAGAAGGCTTTTCAAAGACCCAGTCTCCTTCCAACATCCTACAGTGTTGGCCTCCTCTGCGGAGTCGATGCTGGGTCACCTTTGGTCCATGTCCCTGCCTGCTGGAAGAGTAAAAATAGGAAGTGGAG